AAACACAGGCGACGTTGTGTTATTGTATTTGCTCCGTGCGTCTCAACATCTGCTAAGGAGCAGGGTGATCAGGCTGAATTTCCTGGCGATAGTCGAGGTTACCGCCGACGCTCCTCTATGTATTCGGCTCTGGCATCAAATTTCAGCAGGAGGACGAATAAATAATTTCAACAGCACACCAGAGCTCCGACTACCACTGCAGTGGTCCTCGACCTAGGGGGGTGACTCCGAAACATGCCTTGCCTGTAGAATAACAGGGGTTTATTCTTGTAGCACGGCGTTTGGAAAGTCACCTACATGGTTGCTGGGTATCGTCGAGTAAATGTCGACCGACTTCGCCATACCACATACAGGAATCGTCCCGGACGCAAGCTCAGGGGAATTCGCCCACCAGCAAAACAAGTCCGGCAACAAGTCCGACTGTGGTCGGAACCCACCCAAGCACTACGTCAAGCGCGCCAACACCAACGCCGCAATGCTTGCGCTCGCGAACGGCCTCGAGTACCGGGTACGGAAGTACAACTTCAGCAAACAAGAACATGAGATTGTTCCGGTAGCGCCCGGGGCAGGGTGCATCCGCCTGATGTCCTTGCTTGCCCGGACCCTCGGTCACGACCGCGTACCCACGGACGTTCATGCGACAGAGACCCCAACTACAGCGCAGCTGAAAGGCCAATTTCCGGGATCAGCAATCTGGTCGGCACACCTGTACAAGGACAACGATGTGCAGGTCGACGATGGGTCGTGGAGTGCTCGCGTTTCTGGGGGCAACTTTCGCCCCGACGAAGCGGCATTGATCGCCCAGTACAACGTGTTTTTCGGATGCGGAGGGGATGAGCAATGCAGCAACCTTCGTTGCCCCTCCTGCTGGGATGAGGAGGATACCTTGGAGAGTAGCCTGCTAGAATGTTCGAGACACATGCGCGTAGCGCAGGTAGCGAGCTGTGGCCAGGGGCGGCTGAAGGGTGGCGACGTCAAGGCAGCCGCACGGCCTGGGCCGCCTGACGACTGGGCGTTGGGGCAGGGGCAGGGAGACGATGTCGAGATATTCAACAAACCGCAGCCGACGGGAGACCATGGACCGCCATCAGCAGACCAACTCACCCTCAGCAAGATCATCTACTTCTTCCGTCACAAAGGAAACAAGAACTCCATGAGCGGTGAGCCACCACCATTTACGTGGTGGGTTCTCGCGTACGACTACGTCGGGGTCGGCCATGGTAACGAGCGGGTGCCCGATTCCATCACCGGGCATCCGACGTTGTCACTACGGGGCGGGGCCGTCCGAAGCTTTACCCTGTATCAGCCGTCAGACGCCAGGTACACATGTACCACCAATGCCCGCACGGCCAAGATGGATCAGAGGGGTCGCTGCTTTGCGGGGAGACGCAGGTGGCGGGCAGACGTGTCTGGCGCCACAAGTTCCGGCTCGCATTGCCGGGGTCCAGCAACGGCTACGACAGGTACCTCCTGAACGAGGTACACCACAGCATCAACCAAGACACGTTTGTATGAACGACCATGGAGTTCTTCTGCCTAATGTGAGACGCAGAAGATTGTGACAGAACCTCCTGAACAGCATTGTTGTTGTTGTTGTTGTCTGTAGAACTAATGTAGTATGGATGCCTATTGCTTGCACTGGTTCTTGCGGTCCGTGAAGGACTTCCGCGATGCGACCCTGAGCATACCTGTAGGAACCCTAGGAGTATGAACATTTGAACGAGTTGTTTGCTCATTGCGAACAACGACACAGCAGTCAGATTCGCAGCAACCATTACAATGATCCCCCAACGCCGCCCACATGTCTCTTGGCGCCACACAGACCAGCGATGTTCTGTCGAGGGAAAGCGATTCGGCACGGGCGGCAACAACTGCTGCTGTGGACGCCTAACGATGGCCGACCTTCGGCTTATAGGTGTATAGGTGTNCTGTAGGAACCGTAAACCTCAATGCATGGACTGTGCCGCCATGGCGTTACACGATGCTCTACGTGGAGACATTCCGAAGTACAATAGGGTAGCCCATCTAGCACTGAAAAGTCAGGGATTGGCTCTGAATCAGGGGCTTAATTTAGACAGGATTTCGAACATGTTTGCTGAAAGTCCATTTGAGGCCGCGAAAAAGTACGTACGCAGGTGCATGATTCAACAACGATTTTGGTCATCGTACTACACCGGCAAAAATATACATGATGTAACCCCGCCGATAAGAGTCTGGGAACAACTTTCCCGACGAATTCGTGGTGTTCTTAGTGGCGTTTACCGGACACTGCTTGCTGCCTGTGTGTTGATACATACAGTGCTGGGCCCGGTATAGTGCCAATTGAATAGTGTGTATAGTGTATTGTGCAGGAGGTGGGTGTCTTCGGCTTTTTTCTTATTTTTTTATTTTTTTTGTCATCACTTGAATAGGCTTTTGCACACACTGAAATACCACGGCGGGACACACACGTACTAGGTTACAGCTGTGCAACATCTTGGTCCAAATAATACGTAGTTCTGAAATCGGTTATTCTGAAGTTCAGCAGTACTTTTTTTTCTCTTGCGGCGCGCCTCCCTCTGCCAACCGCGTCGATCTCAAAACGCGAGCAGACGCTCCATGCCCTATAACATGGCCATAGCACCGTCTCCATGTCGGGGTAGAAACGCGGACTCACATCATACGCGGATAAAATGTGTACTCCACGGGATCGTCCATCTGCATCATCACCGCGGGACTGTCACTTTTCCCCCGCCAGTAACGGCCGTGTCCATCGGTAGACTGCTGGACAATCGGTACAGACAGTGGGGGCTGTATCATCTACGCCAGACACACAGAGGTTAAAGCCTATAGGCGGATACAACCCTTACAGCGTCGACGCCCTGACAGGGTTCCTGCCCGTGGACCTTCTGGGGACCGACTACCTTCGCAGGGTGCCAGAGGGTCCGTACAGCGTCTATTTGGCCGCAAGGTCCGTACAGGGGTAGTCTAGCCATTTGGCCACAGGTGAAGCCCTTGGGCCAACAACGTAAAAAGCGTCGAGAATCTGTCCAACAGTAGTAAGACCATCGTTGTCCAGAAACGTGGGATATCATCCAAGCAACGGTACTGAACAGAAGGAAGTATATTTGTTGTGATGCACAGCATATATATCCACTATGCTACAAGTCAGTAAATCTTAACAAATATTCCTTGGAAATATTCCTTGGAAGTATTTGGGTAGCATTTGAGAAACATGGTGGCACCGCGCTTCAAGATAAATGCCAACGCGTGGATAGTCTCACCCAACATCATCACACCGTCTGGGCCGTACGGACCGTACACCGGCAAGCCGTCCTGCAGCGCCGCAAGCGCCGAGAGAGAGAGAGATGGGGATCGGAGGAATATCAATGAATGAGCAACGTTTCATGCAGGCAAATTATCATGACATCTTGACGTTTGCATTGCCGACTGAACAGTCTACACACGAGGCCGGTAACCCTCAATGCGCTCGACACATAGCCCCTGGCCTCCCGCTTCGTAACACCGTCCATTATTGCACGTGCATGTTGGATCACTAGATATGTGATTGGTGGCGCTCCATTTGTCGCTATCAACATGTTGCTAACCATCGACGGCGCGTACAGAGCAGGCGATTGTACTTACAAACGACCAGCCGAGGAACGGCGAGTGCTCTTGGTAGGTTACTCCTATTAGATATACTCGTAGCATAGCATGGTGGGTGATATCTTACGTATTCATGTAGTGACGAGTGCGGAGGAACA